GGCCGGCGCCGCCGCGGCTGCAGGCGCCCGACTTCTCCAGCGACGCGGACGCGGACGCCGACACGGACGACGAGTAGCGCGGGCCGGCGCCGCCGCGGCTGCAGGCGCCCGACTTCTCCAGCGACGCGGACGCGGACGCCGACACGGACGACGAGTAGCGCGGCCGGCGCCGCCGCGGCTGCAGGCGCCCGACTTCTCCAGCGACGCGGACGCGGACGCCGACACGGACGACGAGTAGCGCGGGCCGGCGCCGCCGCGGCTGCAGGCGCCCGACTTCTCCAGCGACGCGGACGCGGACGCCGACACGGACGACGAGTAGCGCGGCCGGCGCCGCCGCGGCTGCAGGCGCCCGACTTCTCCAGTGACGCGGACGCGGACGCCGACACGGACGACGAGTAGCGCGGGCCGGCGCCACGGTCCTACTTGAATTTACTATTTAGTAGCACTTATTCGATTGCAGTGATATATTTTTGTAGTGATTCGTCATTTTTCTTTATTCCGATCTAGATCTTATTATTGTATTTATAAATTACGCAAAGTAATATTATTATATACTGAGTCGCCATAACGTTACCTTGTCGTCGTTAAAATTGAACCGTTTGTTACTTGGCGCACCGAGAATGTTACAAATGTACTCGGAGCAGGTCGCCTCGAACGTGCCAGTAGCGATGTTCTGTAACGGTAGCAATGAACACGCAGTGCACGATGGAACGTTAACAACACTACACAACAATATGTTCTGGAAGCTTCGAATCTGTAACACTTAGTCGTAAGTAGTATTTACTTAGTGTTCTTAACTTTCCATCTCATTCGCCACCATTAAAATCATGTATTGGAATGAAAATCTAAACGTTACGTTATTACGTGTACTGTTCGATTTCCTCACAAAAAGAAGGAGTATTTGTATTTCGATTTGATATTAGTAAGCTTGTGTATATCCCTTGTAATGTGAAATCATTGATCGGGCGGGTGTCGATTGTCGCTCACTATGTTTTCCACAACGATGTAAAAACTCGAAATATGTCACTCAAGACAAAAAATACGAATAAAAATAAATAAAGAGTCTATTAAATTATCGACATTGTACAGAGAGTATAAGGTTCTAATATTTATATATTACTGATAGTATCTCGGTTGTAAATAAAAGAAATTGGTATAAAAGTAATAATTATAATAGATGTATAGTTTATTTGCTTAGTGCATACAATATTATTTGTTCGGCTTGTCGGTTGGGATCGGGAAATTGCAGTCGAATTTAGTGAACTCTGTGACCGAGCGTTGAATGAGTTGTAATATATTAATAGAGAAACACAATTGTAGTATATATGTATAGCAGAGTACTACTGTACTATGGGGAAGCCACAAGGCAGCACAGTTATTGTAACGGGAATGGAATCACTTGCCAGCACTCGGCGTTTGTTCGAGAAAATTGTAATAATACAATTACGTGCTATGTATAAAAGCTTGCAACTAATAAGACTATTTGATCTAATTCATAATTTTGTTCGGTTTTGCCCAAAATCTGTAAATAAATTGATAGGTACAAGTCTCGGTAACTAGGTACTTGAGCTAATTTAGTTAACAGTCAAGTTACGATACTTTTAAAATTGTGTACCTATACCTACCTACTTAATATTTTTTAATCAATAAAGCACTTATTTTATGAAGCTGTTCTATATTTTTGTTTTTTTTTGTTCTGTTTCTATTGCAAAAAGAAAGTTGCAGCGTCACCAAGAAAGCACTATTACATTTACATACGCATTCATTCGGCTGCACGATAGTAGCGTCCAAGTCACCACAAGTTAGTATTGCAGGAGTAGGAACGAGCCCCGTTCTTACACCTGCACTTCGAACTAACCGCATCCGAGTAACCAACTACAACTAACTGCACTTCGACTAAAACCGCTCCATTCAACGGGGTGGTTTTTAGTCGGTAAGAGTCTGACTCTCCCTCCTCACCCAGGCGGGAGAAGTCATTCGATGATTTTCCCCCCTTAAAAAAGCTATCAGCGCCGCCCTTGGATAAATATATTCTATTTTGCCGTTACTACACTATAGCAGAGTGCCCCGTGTCCTAATATCGCTAATATTTCTTCTACCACTGAGTATAACTTACCTACTATCTACAATTCTACTAGGTAGGAAGGTACTGACTACTACTCTGCTGTGTAAATAAATATATAAATAGGTATGTAAGTGTTGAAACTATCCCGACAGACCCTCTGCTCCCATCCCCTAACAGCTATCTTTTTCTGCAGTATTTAACCTTTCGTGTGTCTAAGACGTAAGTCCACGCGAGACACAATGTATTTTCTATTGTGTCTCATATCGGTGAATTCAAAAGGTTAAGTCAATCTCGCGTTGTACAGAAATGGAAATAGTCTGGAGTCTGGACGCACCGTGTTGCTACTTCTACTACTACTTCATGAGATCATGAGAGATCATTTATTTCGTATATAATAACTATAACTATGCCTGTATCTATCTCATTTAATTAGGTTTCTACCATGTTTTCCACAGTCACGAGTACCAAGCATACCAGTCCAGCTAAAGCAAAATAAAAACAAAATCCTACTTGCGTGAATTTCTGAACGAATGACGAATCTACAAACATTTGGTCGGTAGGAATTCCTGAACGTCGTTGCTTTATGTCAAGTACACGGTACACCGTCAGGACAGGACGTCACTTAGACAAGACCAGTGGGAACGTATCTTGAGACCAGCCCAGAGAAGTTTTATAATTTTATTTATTAGCAATTTTATAAGTTTTAACTTACATATAAGCAAATAAACGGTGTTTGTATCATACTAAGTGCAAATGTGATAATGTTACCTAAATCATTTGTCTAATCGACATTGACTCCGCGGAACATACAAGAGTTCAACAAAATGGGTAAGTACGCCGGCAATTCAAATGATTTTACTTAAGTATCCTTTATTTGAAATTGTATGAAAGGCTATGAAAATATAATAGAATCTTATTAGAAACTTCTTGTTTCATCGTTGTCCAATTAGAACATGAATAGATTGGCAGCTCCTTGTTTATTGGTGAATTTATCGATTTTTCTCATGCGTCGTCTGTTTCGACAGTGAGGTTAAATAATTGCTTTCATATTTCGTATTAAAAATTAATAGTTACGCTATAATAACTTGCTGTTACACTAACACATTCTTTTGTGTGTTAAATGTATCAGTAATGCGGAAATTATTAGAAAGACAGACGTTTGACCAACCGGCTACTTTAATCGAATAAAGTTGTTCGGTATTTATACGGGAAGAATTAAATCTAATTGAAAATGGTGAATGGTGTTGAACAGAAGAGTAAGAATGGAGATGAGCGCTATGCTAAGTGACGCGTGTTTAGCAGAGGCTGTGCAAGTGGTCTCGGTACCTACTCGTAGGTCTATCGCTGTCACTGCGTCCTTGTATTCGACCACACGCCAATCGCCGACCAATTATTTCGATCTTTTTGTACTGCAAAAACTCTTGTTAGCTGTGCTGTGTGACATTGAGAATTTGAGAGCCATGTTTCACATAGCTAAACTGTTAGCCAGATAGGTACATGTCAATGAGTTGGCAGCATTGCTTCATAATCTCCATTATAATCATTTCTTATGGTCTAGTTTTCAATAATAGGAAATATTTATATTGTAATAACACACAATAAGAATTCCAGCTTAATCATTTTCCATTGTCACTTTAGTGTTTTTTTTATTAAAGACAGTAATACAATAATTTTGATCAGAATTAGAATGGATTTGTTGAAATAATAAAATAAAGAGTGAGAGCTATAGCTGACCTGTACAGCATCGTAAGAGTGAAGGCTGCTGGTGTGTGCATGTAAATTACTGTCCATGTTTATCATTTAAACAATACCATTCCATGATCCCAGATAAGCACTATCATATATTTTATGACTATTTTCACATTTGCACACATCAGATTGGTCCAGATTTTAATAACATGTAAGTTCTTGATAAACTTTCCACTTTATTTAATTTGATAAAAAATCATATAGGTAGGTACCTATCTACAGAGTATAAACTGTCTTCTTGACCATGTCACTATTGGAGTAGATTCAGTAGATTGTTGACTACGCTTACAAACATAATGGCATATTCCATCAAAAATTTTATGTACTAAAGTAGGAATAAAAAACATTGCTATCCTTCAAAAAACCTTGAATGTGTGCTCAGTTAATGGCAGGCATCTGGGGATTAAAATCATAAGACATCACACTAATGGATTACCTTTATACTATACCTCGTTTGAAAGCCTCATAGCCACACCGGAAGCAATCGAAGAAAAGCTCTGCTCTAAAGTTCTTTGTGTGATAATGTTACCACATATCTCTTAATATGTAACAGCTTTATGGGGGTACCAAATTGTCAAATAACTCCTCTGGCTCAGGATGAGGTGGGAGGGAGTGTTGTTGACACTGAAACAATCACAATTCACTTGTCTTAACTAAGTACTGATGAACCAAAAATGTGCTCGGGCGGTGACAACAAACTATAAGTCTTAACATATTGCCTCCTGATGGACACTGACAGAGTACCAAAGAACCATTGCTGATGCAATTGGCTCTTTCGAAATGGATGTCTTACCAGTATGAGTATGAGTGATGATGAAACAAAAGTAATGATTTACATTTAATTCCAGTCAATATTATTACAACATTGGTAAAAGTTACAATTACATTAATGTCTGTCAGAGCATTGGGTACAAAAGTGGCAAGTACATTTAAATGTCAAATGATCTAATGAATATGTTTTGAATATGGGCGCAGGGACTATTCGGTTCGGCGACTGCGTCAGGCGCTTGCCTGGTGGAGCGGCACGGTGTCCGATGACCGGCGGTGTTGCCGGATCGCATGCTCCACCGCTTGCTCCGGTTACATGGGAGACGCATGTTCTCACTTATCCACTTACTCAGTCCCGCGGCCTCGCCATCGCCACCTCGCTTCGTCCCATGTAAAGCGTTCCTCTGCCGGCACGCACAATCACACAGTCTCATGACTGTTACAGATGGTGTACGATTTCCCTTGACCAGCAGTGTCATTCACATACACCACGTCATTACCACTCGCTCATCTTGACTCTTACAGAAGTTATTAAATAATGTTTCTACTTACTTACACTAACACGAGAAGTAACTGAATATGGATTATATATCTTAAATTAATATTTTACAGCTGGTATTTTTTTTATTTTAAATCGCAGTAATCCTGGAGGCTTGGAACTTAGAGGAAAAACCTCATTCACGGGGCACTCTCTTTCCCAATTACATTGTAGTCGATGTACTGAGATGTGATTGGTACAAAGGTTTAGATCAGATTGGAGGTAGACAGACTGGAGAATGTGGGCAAGAAACCGAGTAGTTAGTTAAGATAAAAAAAAGTTGCCAGATCTGGCGGTACCCATTGTACTTCGCCGTTATGACTCTACCACTCTGCACAGAGTTGGGAAACTTCAGGTTACTCGCACAATTACAATTATTATTTAATGCAATTTTTTTATTGATTAATTAATTAATGATTAATGAATTACGTAGAGATACTCAAGGAATAATGTAGTAAACGAGTTAGTTCCAAAATGTCAAATTAGAGCAGGCATCACGGCCAGCGCACATAATTGACACGACTCGGTGAAGTATCCTTGGTGCTTTGCTAATATGAGAATGTTCATTAGCAATATTAGCATGTTTAGTTGCGAGTGTGCGCTGCTTGACTATGTGAGTGTGACAACTGCTAGCGAACTGCGCCAGCCGCTGAATCGAGACTCGTCTATTTTGTTTATTTTAAAAAAACATTGAATTATAAATGACTTTCACAAGTTTTATTTTTTAGCAGCAGTTGGCAGTTTAATAAGGTTAATATTTGGTATTATGGTATTATGTCAATATGTCAGCATGCATTTAACACACTACAACGATTGATATTAAGTAAATAATAATAATTGGAGCAAACCAGGATTTTGTTAAAGCCGTGGTTATGAAACCTTTAACAATTTGAAGACTCCAATATTTATTCCTCCATACATAGCTTATACACACTACACTGAACATTTTTACAAACACAAGCTGCGTTGTTGACTCAACCGATACAACGCCATGTCCACGCGTACGTACTCGAGCTGCCTATGTTTAGTACATTTCAACAAGTGGTTACGTAATCACATCGCAAAATTTCGCGTGGCCGCTGTGCTGCCAGGCAGTGAGCAAACACGTTTGGATACGACATCGTGGAGCACCTCACATAGTCACATCGTCCGTTTAAAGATCCTACTTGTATGGTTCTGGTTCAAGTGCTACAATTCTAGAGAACAATGTCAGTTGACGCTTATTACGTTGCATATTGCATGCTGTAGCATTTGTTGCACACTTGCTTGTGGTCGAGATCGCGGCAGCTGTATATTCATTAGGACCATGATCACTGATCAGGTATGTATGTGGACGATGGGAGATTTATAGCCCATAATGTTACGATGACTCAGACCACTCTTAATTACGAATTTCAATAAGTAGGTGAAGGCGAGCCACACGTTTACATAAACCATACCGGTCGCCGATGTCGAATCCATTCTATACGATTATGCTGACTATAATAATAATAATATACTGACTGTGTTCCATAAACACTTATTAGACCACAAATACACAAAAAAGTACTCTATAA